AAAGAAAGAAAGAAAGAAAGAAAGAAAGAAAGAAAGAAAGAAAGAAAGAAAGAAAAACTAAATTTTTATCTCCATTACAACATGAAAATACTAAAAGAAAAAAAAAAACTTGAAGACCTTTAACTTTACCAGTAACGTATATTTAAATTATTTTGCTACAGCCCATTTTACAGATAAAAACATATTTTGTTAAACCTTACACATGACAAACTGATTGATACATTTTTGTATCAATCAATAAAACAAATAAAATTCTTATTTTTCTTTGTATATAATATTAAAATGCCAAATCTCCTATAATATATTTCATTATCTAAGTTGAACACATTATATAGACAGACTTTAGTTTTAATGACTCCAATTATTTTTATTGTGTCACTTTACACCTACAGCTAAAGTTAAAACAGCAAGATTGGAATTTTATGTCACATCAATAAAAATAAGATTTTAATAAATAAATGAAGGCTTTGTTAAAATTATGTTTAATACTTATCTATCCCTGTGTGTGTGTGTGTGTGTGTGTGTGTGTGTGTGTGTGTGTGTGTGTGTGTGTAGAGAGAGAGAGAGCATTTTTCTAGGCAGTTGAAATAATTGATCCTGCTGATAAGTGTTTAAGAGGATCCACTTGTGGGAAGTTTTACAGTTTTACAGTAAAACATTTACAGCCTCTTTAAATTTTCCTTCCTGCTATTATTTCTGCTTTTCCTCTTTCCTTATCATTAGCGTTCTAAAGAGGATCACACACACACACACACACACACACACACACACACACACTAGATAAGTCAATGTTCCTTTTTTTAATGAAGAAAAAGTAAACAACTGTTATTATATTGCTGCAAACACTCGTTTGGGATTATTATGTGAATGAAATAAAAAAAATGTTTTTATCATTTTTATTTTTATGAAAGAGTGAGTTAGTCTTCCACTGACGGACACAGAAGGGAGGCACACCTCCATGGCACATGTGGAGCATATTTTTCCACCTTATTTCTTACAGTGAAAGATTTTGCTTGGTTTTCAGTGGAGAGAACGTTCATATTTAAGACTTTTACAGTTAGCATAACATTTAAAATGCAGGTTTTAAAGGAGCAAATTTTTTAATAAAATAAAATTGAATCACAGTCAGTTTCAGTTTCAGGGATTTATAACTGATGGAGTTAATATTTAAAACCCTTGGATTAAGGTTTTCCTTCTTTTTTTCTGTTTAAACTTCCTGGTTTCTCTTTTAATCCTAAGCCAACAGTCAGTTGAGTTTCTTATAGAAGCTTTTTTTATATATTTAAAGTAGTTTGATAAGATTTACACTAATTTAGGCTCTGCTTGACCATAGAGGCATTTTATTGCTATTTTAACTTTTTTACATAACCCCCCTTCAGTAGATCATCTGAAAATCACCTTTAGATTTCACTGAAGAAGAAAATCAGCTTTAACATTTTATATACGTTCTACAACATTTCTTATAGATTTTTGTTTTTGAATTAGAAAAATTCTATATCTATATTTTGAACCCCATCTAACAGAAAAACAAGTTAACCTTGGACCTGTAAAGAGCTTCTCCACATGTACTCACGGATGCATTTTGAACACACTTAAAGGAGGAATTCCTGAGTCCAACATTCTCCATAAACCCTGTCCAGTTAGAGGAAGGTTTTCCCCAAGAAGAAACAGAAAATGATCAGACGTGTGAAGCAGAGACACGGGACTGTGTGGCTGTATTTTCTGCTGCAGACTGTCAGCTTTGAGCTTCTTTGTTGGTGGATTCGGTCGAGCTCATGACTCAGTGTTGCTCATCGTGAGATGATTCGCGCGCCATTTCTAAAAAATTCTCCTTCTCTCTCTTTTCTTGCCTCTCTACTTTTACAAGCTTAGTGAATGTATTTCTTTTTTTTTTGTTTTAGAGACATTTTTAAATTTATATCAAGGGTTCCCTTTAATATCTATACATATATGTATTATAGCTTCTTTAAATGTGTGGAGCTGAGGGGGATTCAAGCCTGATTTTCCCTCCGAAAAAACTACAAACTACTTTATTATTTTTCATTTTTTGCCATGAGTTCAATGCCAATTTAAGCGATTTAAATCCAAAGTGCAGTTCAGAGTCTCTCTGTCTGCTTTATGCTCCTCTACAAGTCGGATATCAACTACTTGTTCTAAAGTTAATCATTAAAAGGTTGTAAAACCCAGTCATTTAACACAAAGTGTTTCTCTTCTCACCATAACATAGGTGTGTGTACATGTAGGAGAGCGTGGAGGTGGGGAGGAACGGAAATGACTTGCCTCCTTGAGAGAAAGTTATCAGCCATAAACCCAACCGTATGTGACACTCTGCCCACGCAGAAGCTGCCCTGAAATCTTTGATGTGCCTTTTTGTTGTTTTTTTTGACAAAAAAAAACTAAGATGCGTACGTGGAAAAGCAAGGAGCGCGTTGATCTGAAACATCAGGGGAGGCTTTCTTCTATAAGGGAAAACTAGTGGAGGTCTTTAGTAGGTATTTGTTTAGTGATTAATCACTAACTCCAGGGATGGGCCACTGATTTGGCTATTCTAGGCCATTCTCTGCCGGCTCTTACATCTTTTTTTTTTTAGCGTGTGTAAGAGGGCACGGAAGAAGGCGGGGGGGTGAGCAGAATGCTTGTAGTCAGTGACTACATTTTGTAAAGGGTTTCCTAATATGGGCTGTCTTTACAGCAGCACCGCCCCCCCACCTCCCTTCCAGTGGGTCATCCCCCTCCCTCCACCCCCCCACAGGTCTCAACCAGTGACGACACAGCTAGGGTAAGACTCACTTCCTCATTAATTGGCTGAAACCAGTTCTTACAGGAACCGCCTATGATAAATGTGAGAGTTCTGAGAAGTCATTCATTTCTCCTCGTTGCAGCGGCAGAGGAGGCACTGCAGGGGAGGTGAACGAGTTCACCGATGTGAGAGAGAGAGAGGGAGGGAGAGAGGAAGCTGAGTATGTGTGTGAGAGCAGAGAGGACAGGAGAGGACTGACTGCTGCCGTCCGCCGCTGCCGCATGAGGACCAGGAGGACAACTTTTATTTTCCTTCTCAGTTTATTTCACTGATCCTTTCAGTCTATTATTTTTTTGGGGGTTGTTTTTGATTGTCACAGCTTGCTGTGGTTTTATTTCATTTATTTGTAATGTGTGTGAGTGTAGTAGTGTAGTGTAGTGTAGTGTATAGGGGATGAGTGGTTTGCACTCGTTGCTCTCTACGCCTTTCTCTCTTCCCAAAGAGAGGAAGCGGGGGCCAGCTCTGTACAGTACAGGAGACAGGACAGCATGCCTCCCTTTGTTGCTGCCCTTGGGCTGGTGAGTAACAATGATGTGACGTGATTTGTACCC